ATTTGGGCTGCTTTTAGTTCCTTGCCACTCTCTCCACCAGCACTGGGTATTACTTAAATGTCTCAGTCTTTGTCAACTTATTGGAAAAAATGTTGTAACGCTATACCTCACCCATCATTCCTCTCTAAAATCCGATCTGTCCTGGTGTTGCTCCTGGGCTGTTGCTCACTAACTTCGAGGAGGCCTATGAATCACAGGGCATGGTGTGGGTTCCTGCTTGGCCACGCCAGAGCCCATGAGAGCTCAGAGGCCTGTCTCTGAACTGCCTGAAGCTCCACTACCTGCCTCTCCCTGCCTCTGGCATGATTCTGGCTGCTAGGTTGGAGAACTGAAGTGTCAGAGGATATTTGGGGCCTTCTTTTGTTCATTTCTACCAGTGACAGCCATTTTGAATCCTACAAACAATGTAATATAAAAATAAATAATATAATCAAAAGGTCTGAGGCTGTGACATCATCTCGTTTGATGGATTGGTGTGCTTCTCCACTCTTATACCAATCCCATGAGGAATCTTGTCTTTCTTGGTTTGATGAGGAGGAATCCGAGGATGGGCAGCCTGGGGAGACTTGCTGTTGGCCAGGCTCCTCATCACTTTGTCCCTTACCATTGGGATGACTTGGCATCGGAAGGCCTGTCAGTGGGTCATTCCTCCTCTGTGTAGACACAGCCTCAGGCCTCTCCACCAGCTCAGACTACAGCCAGTGGAACTTGCTTTTACCCACTCAGGGTTGGAAGGCATTTGAATTTGCAACCCCTGCCAAATGTTGCCCACTTTCCCCTGTGCAACTATAGTGTAGGCCCAGCACTAAACTAGCCTTTCTCACAAGCCCTCCCCCTTAGATGAGAGTCTCATTCCCTCTTCCTTCTGTTCTGAGGACATAGGAAAGCTTTGGGGCTGGGGGAGGAAAGCCTCAATCTCTGCCTTCCTCAGCTCCTGAAATAATTATGAGGTTCAGAGCCGCATGCCCACCCATCCTTCCACCCTGCTCCAGGGAAGAGCAGAAGACAAGGCAACCCTGCAGAACAAATCAGACCAGATTCCCTTCCCAGGGGTGCTGGGCTTTCTCCAGTATATACTTGGGATATACGTATACGTACTGAGTGCCAGGCACTGTACTGGGCTCTGGGACTCAGTGTCAATAAGACAGACAAGGTCCTGTCCGCTCACAGCTCACCAGCCGGTAAGAGATGCACGCAGCAATCACGTGACCCGCAGTGTTGCAACGATGGAAAATGTGGGGACTCGCTGGGCCTCTTCCACCCCTGCACACTCCTCAGCAGCAAGTGGGCCCTGTGATCTCCTAAAGCAGAACCATAATAATAATAATATAATAATAATAATATAATAATAATAATAATAAAATAACTACTGGGCGCTGTTCACATTTCACATACTCATGCCCTAAATCCTTACAACAACCCTCTCAAACTGGTGATGTCATTATTATCCTAGTTATATAGGATGAGAGGTTCACTCAGCCCTGAAAATAAATACTTTTTCTCAACTCACACAGCTAGTGCAGATGAAGCTTCCAATCTTGGGTGAGCAACTTTTGCACGGCCTGTTGCATTTCAAAATGTGCTGCGACCCCGTGAGAATGAGACAGAGGGAAACTGGATTCCCTCCCAAAAGTAAAATTTAGGTTAGGCTCTAGGAGGAACTCATTGGCAACATTTAAAAGCATACAAGAGAAAAGACTCTCCTTTCTGGGAATTTGCTTCTCCCATGAACTTTCTATATTGCGCAAATAGCATTGTAAAAATAGAGGAATTTTTCCAGGAAAAAAAAATCATTCGTAATTCCACTTCATGCATTGTGTTCCATTTTCCATCTTTTTGAGCCAGATGAAGGCTGTTGGAGAGTTGGCATGAAAAGGGAAGGAACTGGATCTGGTTCTGCTGCTGCAGCACAAAGGCAAAGACGCAAAGCTAGCAGAGCCAGCCCCTCTTGAGGCCCCAGCATGCAGGTGGTCCCAGGACACAGAGGCACCAGCAGAGGGAACAGGTTACCTCCCTACTACTGCAGGCCACCGAGGGGACCAGAGGGAGAGGCGAGGCTGTGAGGGATTTCCTGCTACTTCAGATTGAAGTCACCCAACACAGCTCGCCATCCATGTACCCCGGAGGAAACAGGGAGAGGAAGAAGCGCCCATCAGCAGATAGCAGGCAGAGTTAGCTGAAAAACAGAAGTGGCTTCCAGGTTGACCACTGCTGTAGGGTCATGAGACCCCCGATGCCTTAGTCCACTCCACTTTGATCAGCTCCAAGCCATGGGCTGGATGGAGGTCCAGGCTTCTTGGACCCAACTTCTTGGATACCTTGGGATGTCCCACCCAGTCTGTTCCCCCAAGGATTTCTTTTAGATCTAATAAAATATATGTCATGTGTGAAATACTTTAAAATTTGCAGAGTATTATCTTCACAGTCCTTCAGCTTGGATTTTGATGCTCATATCCATTTCAGACAGGTAGGACAGGTATTACTATCCCCATATTTGCTTTTAGATCATGTTTAGAATCACCTAGTAGCAAGCAGAGCCTGGTGCTAAAACCAAAGTCTTCTGATCTCTTAAGGCTCAGGTACTTTCTCTTGGTTTCCTCAGAGCATCTTCTGAATCTTTCCAAGTCTTTCCACTGTCTAAGCGTGGATACCAGGATAACCTCTCATTCCTATAGTTTAGAAGTCAGTTTTAGAAGTTCTGCCCTCATTCGGGGGTCCACAGACAACCCATCTGTGTCCCTGGTGAACATTTCACCCCCTCAGGCTTGGTCTAAGGCACTGGGACCCAGAACTTGTACAATGCCCTGCTAAGCTTCTTAGAGGAGGTGGGTATTAGCAGGATTGGAGATTCTTCCCTGACATGCCCTTCACACTCAACCCTGCTTCGAATTAGGGTTCCACAGGGGAGTTGGGGGCAGGAGAATGGGGTGTTTCCTGCTGTCCAGCTTCGGACCCACTCTTTGAAACCCTGGAGTCTGGCAAATTCCCAGAGCTGAGAGGACACCGGATGTCGGGGTTTGAAGGTAAACAATGTGCTTAGGTAGGAGGGACCGGTGGGGCTGGCAGCTCATTTCTGTGATCCTGGCACACGGGGAGAACACAGTCACCCTGAAGTTTCCGCAGGGGACCCCAGTGGGCTTGCTACAGACTGCTGAGTTCAAGGCAAGTTCAGAGGGCTGAGGGGAGATGCAAAGGAAATTAGAACAACCAAGGACCAAGAAGGAAGTTTACTTATTATTACTTCTCCTTTTTTGCTCATCCTTCTTTTTTTTGGTACCGGAGATCGAACTCGGGTCCTTGCGCTTGAGCAGCAGGAGGCGAAACCACTGAGTTACATCCCCGGCCCTCTCTTTTTCTTTTTAAGACAACTGCACTTGTATCTCTACTTAGTGGGGTATACTAGAAAGACAAGAGAGTTCAGAAGCTCATCTGGCTGGCCACCCACCAGCTGTGTGACGTTAAGCAAGTCACATGTCCTCTCTGGGCCTCAGTACCTTCATGTCTTACACGGGCTGGTACCAGGCAGATTCTATGGTTTACCCAGCTACTTCTAATAAATTACTATCATGTGCAAACCCAATCACTGGTTATTGTTTTGTAATATCTATGGATACTGATTAGAAATTTATCTGGCTACCCACTCGGGACCCCTCCTGCCCCTCAGGAGCTTTCCTATTAATAATTATCTTCCTACTTTAAAAAAGAAAAGAAATTTAATAACTATTGACTGGGGCTGGGCCTCTATGCCCTTTATAAAATGAGGATTCTTTGAGTACCTTTTCTGTTTTTTTCTTCCTGCATCCTTATATGAAACTAAGCCTATTTAGTCCTGTTGTTTGATTCTGTTTTGTCTTGTTTTGTTTTCTGAGACAAAGTTTCACTATGTAGTTCAGGCTGGCTTTGACCTCACTCGATAGCCCAGGCTGGCCTCAAACTTGTGGGGATCCTCCTGCCTCAGCTTCCCAAGTGCTGAGATTATAGGCATGCATCACCACACCCAGCTAACAGCACTTGATTCTATTCAGTGCTTCTCACAGATTTTACATGTATTTACTCTCTCAAGATTCCTGTGGCATAAGTACTATTACTATTTACATAGGCATTATTACAATTAAATTAAACTAAAAATATTATGTACACGATAAAAGGCCACACTAATAGGATATTCAGTGAAAAGTAAGCCTCTTTCTGATCCCTGGTCCTCAGTTTCCCTTTCTCAGATGTCCCTCAGGAGATTGTTTTTGCGTAATAAATATAAGTATTATCACACCCATTCCACAGATGGGCACTAAAGTCCAGCCTTTGCAGGATGGCAGAGCTCGTCAGCAGCAGAGCCAAGAGTCAGGCCTTTGGTTCCTTTTCCACATTCCTTCCACCGAACCCCACTGTCCGGGAAGCCCTATGACATTAACTTTTAAGTGTTGTCCTTCCCAGATGATACAGTAGAATCATTTTAAGACAGTCCAAACACACACACACCCCTGGGTCTTTCTGCCTGCACTTGAAACCCTGTCTCCCCACCTCTTCATAGCCTTTGATAAGGTGTGATCTGTGGCTGGCTCCACCTGTGGCAGCTGAGCCCCCAGCAACTTAGGCCTGGGCCTGAGGACTGGCAGAGCCTCTGCAGGGGCCCTGGGCAGAGTCCCCCGAGCAGGCCCAGCTCAGGGGCCTCGGTGGCCAGGCAGCAGCCGGGAAGCAGCACAGGGAGGGGACCCATAGGGACTCTTTCTCCTGGAACAGCTGTCCTCCCCAGCACAAAGCACTATACTTGTGTGTCCCTGGGACTCCCGTCATCACTCTTTCCCAAATCAGAGAGTTGTGGGTCCCAGATCGCCTCTTAGGCACAAATAATTTCTTTTTAACCACCTAGGCTTATGGATACCCCCTGGCTGGTCTTCATGGAGAAATCTTTCCTGATCACCACCCTGAATCTCAGAGCAGCTGCTGTCTCTCCGTGGACAGCATGAGAGGCCTTCTGTGACCAGTTGTAACTGGCCATCATGGGGAAAGTGATCAGGATGGGGCTGCAGGAGAGGCGGTTACTCCGGCCAAAGAGGCTTCGTTGGAGTCGCTTCCTCTTCCTATTAGGAATGTTGATCATTGGTTCTACCTATCAGCACCTGAGGAGACCTCAAGGCCTGCTCTCAGTGTGGGCAGAAGTGTCTTCCCAACAGCCCATAAAACTGGCCAACCAGGACCTCCCCAGTGATGAGACGATGATGGTGAGCAGCAAGCCTCCAAAAGTTAGCTCTGAAGTGGAGGGTGAGATGGCAGCACCCCAAGCCGCGGTGGGCAGGGATCAAGCACCACCCAGCATGACGAGGGAGAGCACACCCAGTCCACGCAGAACAGCCAAGACCATTCCAACAACATCAAAGAACAATCACAGCCCGACAGCAGCAGGTACAAAAAGAGCGAAGGAAAACACCTCAACCACTAGAGTATTGAATCGCGACACCCCAACTTCAGGCAGACCACCAGTAAAACTTTATATCCCAACACCCAGGGAAGAAATGAAGAGCTACAGCGCAACTCGAGGCAGGAGAAAAGGAGAGAGCCACACCACCTTCCCAGCAGGTGGAACAGTAGACACTTACACTCTGTCCACATTCATGACAATGGAAACCGGCCACAGGGTCACCCCCAACACAACAGTGCAAGGCAGTGAAACCATGGCAACCTATGAACTATCAGAGGCCAATTCTCCCAAGAGAATAGTGGAAGAAACTACCCCCGCCACTCTCAAAGGAATAGTTAACAACACCCCAACTTTCCCAACACACAAGGCAAAAATAAACATCCTGACTTCTCCAAGGAATTTACTGGAAAAGGATGCCCTGAGTAGCCCCAGAAGAGGGGAAAGTAACAGCTCTGCCAGACCTCGGATGTCAGTGGGAAAGAACAAGCTGAAAACTCCCCAGGAAGCAGCCTTGGGGTACCCCTCAGCCACCTCCGAGGGGCAGGTGACAATCAGCACTGTGACAGGGAGCAGCCCAGTGAAAACCAACGCCTCCACTGCTGCCTGGAGTGTTAGGAACCCCTGGCCCCAGTCCAGCGCAACCACCACCAGAACAGCCTCAGCCACCCACTGGGAGGTGGCAACAAAGCCTTCCACAGCACGCCGCACCTCAGTAACCCCCAAAGTCAGGGCCATTCCGACCACCCACGTCCGGCACTGTGTGGCTGTGGCCCCAGCTCCAGCCACACCCAGCACCCCATCCCACAGCCCAACAGTGGCCCTGCTCCCAGGGGTGCCCAGTCCCAGTCTCTCAGCACCACTGCCTGGCTGGCCAGAGCCCCACCCCAAGGCAGAGTACCCCCCGGACCTGTTCAGCGTGGAGGAGCGGCAACAGGGCTGGGTGGTCCTGCATATCTTTGGCATGATGTACGTGTTTGTGGCCTTGGCTATCATATGTGACGAGTACTTTGTGCCAGCCCTAGGCGTCATCACGGACAAGCTGCAGATCTCAGAGGATGTGGCAGGGGCCACGTTCATGGCTGCTGGAGGCTCTGCCCCCGAGCTCTTCACCTCCCTCATCGGCGTCTTCATTTCCCACAGCAACGTGGGCATCAGTACCATCGTGGGCTCTGCCGTGTTCAATATCCTCTTTGTCATTGGCACCTGTGCCCTCTTCTCCCGGGAGATCCTCAACCTCACCTGGTGGCCACTGTTCCGAGATGTCTCCTTCTACATCCTTGACCTGTCCATGCTCATTGTCTTCTTCCTGGACAGCCTCATCGCCTGGTGGGAGAGCCTGCTGCTGCTGCTGGCCTATGCCCTGTACGTGTTCACCATGAAGTGGAACAAGCAGATCGAGGTCTGGGTGAAAGAGCAGCTCAGCAGGAGGCCAGTAGCCAAGATCATGGCCCTGGGGGACCTCAGCAAGGTAAGGAAAGGGCAGGTCAGGCTTCTCTGACCCTTGGGTGAGAGGGCAGGGGAAAGCCCAGGACTGGAGAGTAGAGGGGCTGGGTTAGCCCTCAAGAGGTGGGTGCTCGGGTTCGCTTGCCATTTCTTCAGTATTTCCAGAGTTTCCAGAGTGCTCTGTCAGCCACAACGCTGCAGCCTTCGCAAGTGTGACCTTTGCTCCACCCCTACTCATGTATACAGTGGTTGTTAGAATTATGACCCTCATTTGCAGGAGAGGAAATTTAGGCCTAAAGAAGTTAACTCAGTTAGTTTGCTCATGGTCACACACCAAATAGGCAGTACAGCTAGGATTGGAACCCGAGCTGGTCTGACTGGATCTCCGGAAATGACGCTTGAGTTGGCCTTTGGAGAATGTCCAAGGAGATACCAGGCAGGGAAAAATGCTCATCTCTTCCACTTGTGTGGGGTTTGGGATTTAGGCAGCACCCTCATTTCCCTCTAATACTGTTAGTTCACATTCCAGACTTGTGCGCTGGGGAGCGGGTGTTTGGCTTGGAGAGGGTCTGGGAAGAAGGGTTTTTTTTTTTAAATTTTTTAATATTGGGAAAGATGGGAGCTCCACTCACCCACCAACAAGCCAGCCTTGGGGACAAGAGCCTCTCTGTGTGTCAGCTGGAGCCTGGACACCAGGACACCAATCCTAGGACTTCCTGACCCAAAGAACTCCTCTACCCCCTTGCTGAGTAGTGCTAGATGCACTAGATGATTCAGTAACCGGAAGGTGAGATTACATTGACCAAGTAACCTCTGAAAATTTATCTCAAAAGTTTTTGTTCTTTGAAACTCTAGAGTAAGGATACCCTAGGGAACAGAGACCCCATTTCTGTCCTGCTCCTTTCGTGCAAAGAGCACAAGGACTTAGCTTCTTAATCCAGAGCAATTTTGATGAGTGGGCAGGACAGAACCCAAACTCAGCAGCATGTCTGGGAGATACGGGGCCAACAGAGATGAAATGCATTTTCTGTGGGATTTTTGAAATAACATGATGTTCCAGTCAGAGCACCAACTAGAGAGCCAGGACACCAAGATTCTAACCCGATTCTACCTCTAATTAACTGTGAACTTGGACAGATCCCTTCTCCCTTTAGGGGAAATGACAGTGTCCAACTCATCACCCACAGGTCCTGCCAACTCTGACGGTCTATGATCATCACCCCATGTCCATGTGATCCAGTTTGGGCAGGCTCCAGGACAACAATTCTTTGAGCTGATGGATTGAGCTCCTCTGCTTGCTTTGCAGATGGTCTAGAAGGGAGAAATGTCGTGCCCAGGGCCACAGAGCCTGCAAGAGTCAGAATCCAGCTTCTTCTCTCCCCGTTCTGCACTCCTTCCCATCTGACTGCTGCTCCAAGGAAGCCACAGGCTTAAAAAGAAAGGGAGGCTCAGAGAGTTGCATACTTTTAAGATGAGGAAGCTGGAACCTCCTTCCTGACGAAATTCCCAGGACTGGGCTGGCTAGGGGTGGCCCTAAAACCATGGTCTCTCCTCTAAGAAAAGCCATGATGTACATTAGGCCACCAGAGCTCAAAATGCCTCTGGCTTGCCTCCAGGACCTGTGTAGTAATTCTACTTTTATTTAAACTCTACAATTCTGAATTTTCTATTTTATCAGAGTTAGATGCTCAAAGAAAACCTTGTCAAGCAACTGAAGCACAATCATGATATGAAAGGAGACTGTGTAACCTACTTAAGAGACTTCAAGGGCTTTGGTAGCAGCTTTTTGCCAACCAGTAAGCAGGGTGCTGATTGTGTTCTTAATTATTTGTTGAAATGGATCCAGGATGGTTTTTAATTGGCAGCATTATTTTTAAACAGTAAGCTGAATTTCTACTTGAAAGTAAATCCATGTGTATTTAAAATTAAATACTTATAGTCAGGATTTACCATTACTAGCATCCACATTCTAAAACTTAGTCCAAATAACTCAAGAACCATAGCTATTTATAGATTTATTTATTTTTAAAATTTTTATTTCTATTTTTATTTTTTTGTGGTACCGGAGATCGAACTTGGGTCCTTGCCCTTGCAAGGCAGGCGGCAGAACCACTGAGTTAAATCCCCGGCCCCCCCCATATTTATTATCATCATTGTCATCATTTGGTTAAGACAGGGTCTCCCTTTGTAGTTCAGGCTGGCCCGGAACTGACTATGTAGCCTACACTGGCTTCAAACTCCTAGCAATCTTCCTGCCTCAGCTTCCCAAGAGCTGGGATTACAGGCATGTGCCACCACACCTGGCACAGTAGTTATTTAAAAATGGTTTTTAAATACTTGTGAACTTGAGTTCCATCCTAGGGGTTCTTATAGCTAGTGAAACCACCTTTGCTTGCATTTTTATGTCTATGTCTGGCTGGCTAAGACCTATGATCTGGTTAGAGGGAAATAAATTATACCTCATTTCGCTGGTAATCTGGGGGCCAGCCATTGTGTTCTGAATTCCTGAAGCAATTCTATGAAGACCCAATGTTTGACTTCATAAACCATGATGGTTTTCATTTTTTATGGTTTAACATGTGTTCCCACCCTTGTAAAGCAATTTAACTATGAAAGTTTAACTGGGAAAATGAACATACCTTGCTCAAACCCTTCCTCACACTTACAGTTCACACCTCTCCCTGAAAACGTGTTCTTTGTTGAAGCATCACCTGGGGAAGGAAGGGGCCAGGGCCTCTTCAATCAGTCAGGGCTCCAAAGATAAGAGGTCAGAGGGAAGAGGGGTGTCGAAGACAGAGTGGTTGGGGACTGAGCAGAGGGCCTGGTGGGGGTGGGGGGTGAAGTCATAGCCACAGCTGCTTGGGAAGTCAAAGCCAGGGACAGAGAGAGGACAGTATGTTGGAGAGAAACAGAGACTGAAGGATACCGGGCTTCCTCCTTCCTCTGCTGCCAGCCTGGGGGGAAGTGGAGAAGGGATGACACTATGTCAGATTCGTCACTGCCACTAAACAGGGAACAATCTTTGTATCTCCCAAACGGTTGAGCCTAACATCTTACTCCAACCGGAAGCTCCAGAAGTATCTGCTTCCTTTTTCTCAGAAACAATTAACAGCTCAGGGGTTCGAGGTTCAGGAGAGAAAGGAGTTGGAGAAGGAATCCATGCTTAGGGAGGGTCTATTCCATACATTCAGGGTTAGTGATTTCTCACGAGACCCTACAAGGTTAGATTGTTATCCCTGTTTTGTAGGTGAGAAAACAGAGGCTCAGAGGGGATAATTAGCCCCTGTAAAGGAAACCGGATGAATTAACGACAAAGTTAGCAGACACTTTTGGTAAAGGGCCATACAGTGAATATTTTAGGCTCTGCAGGCCATACGGTCTTCGTGATGCCTACTCAACTCTGTCCCTGTCGTGGGAAAGCAGCTACTGGCCATAAGCAAATAAGTGGGCATGGCCTTGGGTATTTTCCTAAGAGCAGCACACTCACAGGTGTTCTCCACCTGAACAACCAGCCCACAGAGTCAGCAGCCAACAATTCATTTCTTTCTCAGTTTTTGTTTTTTTGGACCAGGGATCGAACTCGGGTCCTTGTGCTTTCGAGGCGGGTGGCGGAACCACTGAGCTAAATCCCTGGCCCTCTTTTTCAGTATTTACCCAACTGGTATTGGTTGAGTTCCTGAGCTGAGGGAACTTTTACTTCACTTTTATTCAGATTCAAAATAAAGGGTTTTTTTGGGGGGGCGGTTCAAATCAGAATTCACTTAAGAATACTTACAGAAAAAATAAGTGATTTAATATTGATCATAGATATTTATAATAGCATTTTAGAGTCTCTCTTTGATATTGGCTGAAAAAAAGATGATTCAGAGCTAGCTGGGTGTACTGGTGCACACCTGTAATCCTAGCTACTCTGGAGGCTGAGGCAGGAAGATTGCAAGTTTGAGTCTAGCTTGGGCAACTTAGCAAAAAGGGATACAAGCCAGGCAGTAGGCTTTGTTTGAGCCCTTTTGGAAACCCTGCGTCCACATTCCTCCCTAAGCGTACCTGAGAATGTAAAACTCCAGGGAAAAATCTGCCATCCTTTCCTGAACACACTCAGGCTGTTTTCTTCTGGGCAGGATTTTTTATGACACCAACCAACAAGACTCCACACAGACAAACCCAGTGCCTCTGTAGGGGCTGGTTCTCCCATTTTACGCTTATCTCAGGGGTCCTAGTAGTGGCCTGTACAGCCAGCTGGCTGCTGTGGAGACAGGAAGCTGTAGCTAAGAAGCAGCCACCAGGCCTCTCTTCTGTGAGCTCCACCCATACTAGGTGCCAGGGAATCCACTGTGCTCCCCCAAAAAACATCCTTGATGTCAAGTCCTTGAATAGTAGTCAGCTTTCCCCAGTCATCAGAAAAGATGGTGAGAGTGGAATTCTAAATCATTTGATTTTTTTGCTTTGTTTTTGAGACAGGGTCTTACTAAGTTGCCCAGGCTGATCTTGAACTTGATCGTCCTGCTTCAGCCTCCTGATTAGCTGAGATAAACAGGCACATGCCATCATGCTTGGCAGAATTCTCAATTATAAGATTACTGTTCCTCATACTATTTACTTAAGCTTTCAGTGTCACCTGCTAGGGTGTGCTAGCAGATGACAAAATGAATCCACAAGAGACAGACAAATACAGAAAAACTGAGACATCCGATCATGCCGAGTCCTACAGGCTGTCATTTTCTGGACACGTATATACCTGCAGTTGAGATTTTACCTGAATGCATACAAGACAGTAATATTTTCTCCTGATGCATATGATGGGATTGAATATGAAATTAGAGATTCATGGTATTCTACAAAGAGCCGTATGATTTCTAGATTCTCTGTCACTCAAATCAATTGGAAATATAAAACCAATAAACAAGTTTTTAATGTGAGTGAATAGGCATACGGATGATAAGTAAAATGAATTAAGATCGTAATTTATTAAAAAAATTTTTTTGGTTTTTTGAGACAAGGTCTCACTATATAGTTCAGTCTGGCCCATTTATTATGTGCCCTGCTTGGCCTTAGAATCTTAGTGATCCTCCTGCCTCAGCCTCCTGAGTGCTGGGATGACAGGGGTGCACCACCACATCTGGCTAAGATGGTACCTTCAGAGTGGATGTGACAAACATGACCGTGCAGTGAGCCCCCTTTGGTGAAGGAGTGCAGAGGAGGGACAGTCACTCTGATAACCAAGACACCTGCCAAGCCACTATGGAAGGGCAGCATACGCTGTGGGGACTCACTGTGATACCTCATCATGAGCACAAGTTAAAACCTATGAATTGTTTATTTCAGGAAGTTTCCATTTAATAATCTTTTGACCACAGTGGAAACAAAGGGAAGTGAAACTGGATGGGGGGGACTGCTACACACACAGACACGCACACACACAAGTGCACATGTACACAGTGCATGTATTTGAGAAGAGTTTTGAAGGTCACAGGGTTACTGGTCCCACCACAGAGAGGAAGGACAGATTTAGGGACTCGGGGGCTCTTACTCTGGAATGGTGAGTTGGGTGCCTGGGTCCCCACCAAGGGGATCTGTCCAGGAGGCAGTAACCCAAACCGGCCTGAAGTTTGGGCACAGCGCTGGAGGTAGAAATTACTGCACAAAGGTGCAGTAATCACCAGCAACAGCTGACAGGCGCTCTGCTGAGAGAGCAAGATAGTCCAGGACTTAGCACTGAAGAACCCCAGCATTCATTCATTTTGACTCCTTCTGTGTGAGGCCTGTGTCAAGTCTGGATACAGTGAATGAGGCCCAGGCTCTGCCCTCAAGGAGCTCACATTAATGGAGGAGCTGGAGTTGATCCAAGCTTTGTGGGAACGGATCCTCATTAGGAAAAAGAATATAAAAGTATTGCTGCAAAATTAGATGCAAGTCTTGGGAGGGATATGTGTAGGGGAGAGATAGGCCCCGAAGCTTAAGCTTCATTAGTGCCACAGTAAATCCTCCTCAGTGGGAAAGACGGAGCAAAACCAATGGTTGCAGGACCATGTGGAAGGTGCGTGCTTAGGGAGTTCACCACTGCTGAGAGGGGACATCTCAGCACACCAGAGAGTTAGGGAAGGCTTCCTGCAGGAGGTGATGCTTATCCAAATCTGGGAGTTAAAGCAGGAGTCACTGACTGAATAAGTGGTCAGGGTCTTGCCTGTGTGTGCAGAGGCCAGAGGAAGGAGAGCGAGGAGAGACTACTGCCTTGCTGGCCATTGTGGTGGCTACCAGCTACATACAGCCAGTTTGGTGGCCAGTTCAATTTTTTGAGATGTGCTGTCAGTATAAAACAGGCCCCAGGTGTCAAAGGCTTAGTATGAAAAAATGTTGTAAAATACCTCAATATTTTCATACTAATTGCATATTGAAATGTGTTTGTGACAAGGCATCTTCAGAAAATATCTTCTTGCCAGAACCGCTGTGGATCCCTCAGCCACACCCAAATGTGGACAAACAACACACCCATTTCCCTGAAATGTCAATAATTTGGAACAGAGTCATTAGGGAATATAGATTTGAAGTCAGTTTCCTATTTATGCTTGGGAAAAGACATGGAACTTAGTAAAAACAAACAAACAACACACACACACAGACACACACAGGCACACACACACACACACACACACACACACACACACAGACATGAAAATCTCAGACCAAATAAATGAAACCCATCTCAATGGAGAGCAGGTGATCAGGGGAGTTCTGCTGATCTCTTTGTGAGTGTAGATGAGTCACAGGACCTTACTGTGGCTCAGTTTCCTCATCTATCACGATGGCCTTGTCTGGTTCGCAGAGTTGCTAGAAATGACTTCCAAAACTTGGAAGTCCAGACTGAGGTTAGCCAGGAACAGTGAGCCCAGAGAGAAGTATTTTGGTTTGGGAAATCCGAATGCCAGAGAGATCATTAGGGCTGTTCACCATGGGCAAAGATCAGCTCTCTTGCTCCACTGTGGACAGAGCCAAGCAGCCCCAAAGGGCAGCCCGGCCCCGCGGACTTCTCTGTCTCCGAAGAGAACTCAGTAGGTGGGGGTTGGGCGGGATAAATAGTGAGACGGCTGGGATAGCGGGGGTCAGCTCAGCCTCCTTCCCCTGTCCCAGTAGACTTACAGGGGTGTCATGAAAACCTTAAGGGGTGTGTTAAAAGCACACAGTGCCCCCTTCAGACTGGGTATTTCTGCTCTGCTTCACAAGTAGGACCTCTCTTCGTTCAGCAGCATGCATCCACACACTTGAACCTTCCCCATCCCTCAAAACTACTCAGGTTTGGGGCTGGAGATTTAGCTCAGAGGTTCCACCGCCTGCCTTGCAAGTGCAAGGTCCCGAGTTTGACCCCCGGTACCAAAAAAAAAATTCTGCTTTGTCTTGTGTTTGTGTTATATTTGTCTGTTACTTTCTGGACATGGAAGCCATGTCCTAAACAACTTTTATCCCTAAGCCACCAGCACAACACTGTATAAAAAACAGGTGGTCAAAAATAAGAACTAAGCTGGGCATGGTGGCACACACCTATAATCCCGGGACTTCGGAGGCTGAGGCAGGAAGATTGCGGTGAGTTTAAGGCCATCCTGGACTACATAGCAAGACCCTGTCTCAAAGAAAAAAAGAAAGAACTGAATGAATGAATCAGGTGGTGGGAGGATGGCCTGGAATCACATACTATTTTTTACATTTTCTGGGCTGAACAGAGAATAACAAACCCATTTGTGGTTTAGCAATGGAGGTTGGTGGTGGGGGCAAGGAAGCACCCGGAAGGTAAAGACAATTACTGCAGCAGCCATGAGTGAGCGGGCTGCCTAAACACAGAACCAGAGGCCGCTTGGGAGCATCGATGCGATCCTCTCACATTTGCTGTGTAAAGCACCCTATGCCACAGGTCAAGGGAACAGAGATGACTACAGCATAGGTTTACCATGCTAGGTAGACAATTCATATATGGGAGCAGTTAACAGTGACTTTAAAACAAAAAGCCAGTTGAGTTCAAAAAGTAAAATAAAGAAACAAACAAACAAAAACCCCTAACAACTAACATCATCCTTACCCTCCCAGAGTTAGGTGACAAAGTGAAAACCAGAACGTGAGGAAGGGGAGGGAAAGAGCAAGGCTGATAGGGGAGGAGGAGCCTGTGGTGTGGGTTCAAGGGTAGCGGAGGGGATGGCACATCTGAAGGCACTGGACACGTCACCCACTTTCTGAGGCCAGGCCAGCCCTGGGTGGGTTTCTGCGTTCCACCTGAGGCTTCCCTAAGGATGGCAAGTGAGGATTCCTCTGTGACAATTCCTGACTCCTGTCTCTGGTTCCTGTCCTTGCTTGCAGCCAGGTGATGGGGCCATTGCAGCAGACGAGCACCAGGACCACAAGAAGCTGAAGGTGGGTGCTGTATGGAGTCAGCCAGTGGGGATATCACAGGGTCTCTGCATGCAACCAGACCAGGGCACTGTGGAGCCTGGCTGGGCTCAGGCCTGGGAAGCTCCTGCACTGCCAGGAACTGCCACCTCACTTCAGGGGGCCTTCCAGGAGGTGCTAGTTTGGAAGCCACATCCTGAATGTTACAGTTGGCTCTGCCACTCGCCTGCTCTGTGGACTTGGGCCTCAGGTTCTGTATCTGTAAAATGACTCTTTGGCCTACATGATCTCAAGTCCTAGTTTCCAACCCCAGTTTTGTATGATTGTTTGATATAAACGCCTAATTACTTGTGGCTTTAGCATGTCCTGGAACTTAGAGAAAAATATGAGGGATGCTGGAGGGGGTGGGGTCTGAGATTTCTGAAAAACAGGATCTGTCTTTGGGCCATGGGGTCCGTGGAAAGAATTGGAGGGACTTTAAATGGAGCAGCTGGGGGCTGCAACCTCCCTCATCCAAAGAAAACTTCAGGTCTTCTTGTGAGGTGTCACCACAGCCACTAGGTGGCAGAGGAGTTCAGATGGAGAGAGGTAGGAGAGGGAAACCTGCCGGGTCCAACTATTAGCTAGGAATGCTCCTCTGCAAGGCAGATGGCATTTATATGCATGTCACTTTGAGTAAGTGTATGTTACGTCTGTGTACAGTAAAGATGTGTGTGTGTGCCTGTGAAGGTCTCTGAGCACGAGGTAGAAAATAAAACTGGGCTGGCAATCAGCAGACCCGGGTGCTCATCTGACCTTCATTTGCTCCCTGCATGACCTTGGATTCGTACCACCTAGCTTCTTGGAATTCTCTTTCCTTTTCTGTAGATGGGGATCACAGCCTTGCTTCCCTCTGGGGATGGGGCAGTGATAAACACCGTGGAGCTCTGCGCCCCGTCCAGAGGGTCTGTTTGGGGTGTGGGTCAGAGGGTGTTTCTAGGAGGTTTTGCTTGCAGGGGGTTCAAAGCCCAGGTAACATGCTATCCTTAATATGCATGGTCTGTTTTTGTCGAGCACTTGGGGTCTTGTGCAGGACACAGAGTGAGCTGGTCCTGGAGGATCTAGGCGGAGGCCGAGGGAGAAAGTGTTGTGGGTGAAGGAAGCAGGTAGCCTAGGATAAGGGCTGATCCTGGAACCCTGAGGGAAGGAGGCAGAGGCGAGGCCCTTGTGCGGCTCCTCCTTGGTGGGGCAGGTGCTCACTGAGGCCTGTGCGGCTCTCCCCTTGCTCAGCTCCCATCCGTGCTGACTCGAGGGGGCAGCTCAGCCTCACTGCACAACAGCACTATCGGCACCACGATCTACCAGCTCATGCTCCACAGCCTGGACCCCCTGGGGGAAGGTAAGCAAGGCCCCCATACCTGCTGGTCTGCCTGCCTGCTCCTTCCCTCCTGCAGCTGCAGAAGCACTGGGACCTGCAGGGGAGAGAGGCAGCGGGCTGGGCTGGGAAGAGAGAGCCTGCAGGGAAGAGTTGGAGGTAAATGTCAGACAGCCTGGGAGACAGGGAAGTGACAATACAGGGCTCACCAAGAGAGTGCCACATGGAACATGGACCCTAAGGTCCTCAGGTTCCCACATTGTATCACTTCCCTGCCTCAGCATCCCTCCCTGTGGAATGAAGGGGTTCACCCACAGTTAGGCCATGAGCGCCATGTGCCCTGCCCTGGTCTGTGCTAGGCCAGCCCTGTGTCCCATAGAGCATCTCCAGCCAGGTGCCTTGGCTCAGGCTGGCTGGCCAGGGATGCTTCCAGGGGACCCCTCCTCCAGGGCCCGCATCCCAGGAGCTGGGGGTGGCTCCTCCCTCTGCTCTGTAGTTAGCACTAGGAAGTTCACTCACCGCTCAGCCAGCCAGGAATCCTAAGGGCCAACCTGGAAGCTGCCAGGAACACTTCTGGGGGGGGGGGAGGGTGAGAGCTGCATCCAGAGCACAGTGGGCACTGATGCCGAGCTTGACAAATGACAGCAGCAGCTGAGATTCTCACTATCTCTTTCTCTCCAGAGAGCTTCCCAGCATGCTCCTGGGCTCTACTGGTAGCTCATAGAGCTGGTCCTGCTTCCTAGCCCATTTTCTGGGCCCAAGCAGGAGGCCATCACAGAAAGGTTGGCCCCTTGGAGAAGGCCATGGGCTCAGGGTTCTGTGGGCAGGAGGGCTGAAGGCTGAGCTGAAAATGACAGGGTAGAAAGAGCCCTAGAACCTGAGAGCAACCTGCCTGACCTTCTGCGTTCAGGGACACATTCTGGAGATTCAGAATTTGTATCAGATACATTGGGTGTCAGGTTTGTTTAAACCAAGTATGTTGTCCTGTGACAAGGAACATCAAAAACAAGGCAATGGAACGCTCCTGAGAAGTGACCCAGGTGAGAGGTCTCCTGTGGGCATCAGCTCCAGACAAATAGGGCCTGGGGCTCTGGAGTGGGTGGAACACACAGCACCAGGAGCCTGTGGTTTGAGAGTGCTGGGTCATCCCCTGCCTGGCCACTGAGGGAAGCTGTGTCTTAGAGTCATGCTTGGCTACTCCCAGAGGAAGCACTGACTCTATCCTGAAGATAGACCCAATGGGACCTCGGGGCTCCCTGCCTGGGCCATTGGTATGACCAAGCTGCCCACTGGCCTACTTGTCCTAACAGGATTATGTGATGTCCAGGCCAGGCTGAGGGCAGAGGAGATTGACGCTAAGGAGATGATCCAGCCGCAGGGAGGGAGAGGGGATGTGAGGAGACAGGCGCTGTGGGAGCTGCAACAGTCACCCAGGGAGACCAGCATGTTTGGTATGCAACCCTGCTCGGAGTGACTCACCTGACTCTGAACCCTGAGACTCTCTGTCCAGAAGGGGCTGGGGCCTCCCAGGGACTTTGTTCCCAAGACTCCTCCAGACACGTGTTTGTGTGTCATATGCTACTTCCAGACAGCTATCCAAATGTTTCCAGGGTCTTCCACAGAATTGATCATGGCAGAGATGTTTTCTGTGGTCTGGACCCTCACTTCCCATGAAGGGTTTTTCTTGCCTAGGACTCCATGCTTCTCCTGAAAATTTCCCTCAAATAGGTGTGGGCAATCTGCCTGTTCCCCTCAGTGGCAGGGTGATGGGAATTGAGAGCTTGTGATGAACATAAGAGAAACTTTTTCCTAGCCAGGAGTCACCAGCCAGGTCAACACATGTACCAAGACAGGAACCAAGGTGCCTCCTGTATGACAGCTCTGCTCTGCTCAATGAAGACTGCAGGGCTTAATAGCTGCTCAGGGGGCATGGGCTGTCTGGATGAAGGAGACAGTGGTGTGCCAGCCTTCTGACATCTTGGTTCCCAGGAGGGCCTGTGGGACCCCTGGACACCTTGAGGGACTCCAGGTACCACCATAGTGGCTCTGCAGAGGCAGCTCTGGCTGCATCAACTTGGATAGTCTAGGAGACGGGTGGAGAGGACGAAATTCCAGAACTGCTTATCTATGTCCTGCCCACCTAGACCCAGGCAGAAGCTTTGGCCCACCCAGCTTCCTAGCCCGCGCTGCCTCAATTTCCTCACTGGTGTCTGCATCCAGGACTATATCTCTCCAGGGTCCCTTAGAATTCAGACCTTCTGGAATGCTGGACCTTGTCAGAGTTGTTTCTTGGGTAGGAAAGTGGCTCTCAATGACTTTATTATCACCACTATGGTCATGGGGGTTTTAGCTCCCCAAAACTTACACAGTGGTTTCTTGGGGCCAGGCACTGTTTTTCAAACACATCCATGCATTAGTGATTTACTCTGTTGACAGCTCTGGAAGATTTTTACAGTCTCAGGTCCAGAGAGGTTAAGAGCACTGCCAGGCAGGGGTCCAGAATAGATGGCAGGCGACCCATACTCCTCCCACTTTTGCTGTTGTCCTCCCCTTCTCCTGTCCCCTGGTGCATGCTGCAGGAGCACTCTCATGCACTGCTGCCTTTCAGTCTCTGTCTCTCCTTCCTCTCCCACCTCAAAAGGATCAGAATTAAGTGCCTAACACATGGCCTGGAACACAGTCACATTGGAAGGAAATTGCCATCCCTGCTTTTCTTGCCTGAAAAATCAGGGTCACACCATTGAGTGTGTGCTGTTCTGGGGCCTCCAGCAAAGCCAGCATATGGGGATCTGGAAGGAGATGTTCTCTAGCTCCTGGTGTCTGGGATCCAAAAGGTGTGATCAAATGCTTGTTGGTTGACTGGAGAGCAAAGGCTCGTGAATGTCCCCACCAGCTGTCTCCCTGGGGAGTTTGACCAGAACAGTGCTGCCTGATTTCTAGAGCCCTGGAAGAAGTAAGTTGCAATCTAGCTCAAAGGTGGCAGAAGTATGTCTCCTGACCTTCATGGCTCCATTCTCAGTGCATCACAGAAGTCAGCCAGGGTATTTTTCTACCAGGCTTGGATCAGAGTCCTTCTCAGGTCAGCACTCACACAGCCATCATTTGAGCTTATAAAGGAAATAAATCTTAGTTGTCTTGACGGGGGAAGTGACTTGTCCAAGCTCACAGCCATGGGTGATAATGTGGGGAATTTAAGACACAAGTGGCTGGATTGGGCATCACAATCAGGCCCAGTTGTGTCAGAATCCAGACATCGAACTCCCAGGCCAGCCTTGCCCACTCATTCCCACTGCTCTGGCTGCTCAGCTGACAGCAGGGACAGCACGGTGGTCGTAGATAAGACGTGTTTCCTTTCTTGTTTGCAGCCCGTCCCTCCAAGGACAAGGAGGAGAGGTTGATTCAGGAGGCCAGACCCCAACCCCAGGCCAAAGCAGAGAGCAAAGCAGAAGGTGAGAGGATGGCCAGACCAGTGGGTTTTCTCCTGCCACCTCCCCATTTCCTGTCGCCACCAGCCCAGGCCAGGGATTGAGGCTCATAGCTTGGGTCTTCTGAGCCAGTCGGTTTCAAGGAGACTCTGAGGCTGCCCTGCCTCCTCTTAGTGTATGCTTTCCAACATGGCTGCACCAAGTGCGTTCTTCCAGTTCTCTCTGTGTTCTTGATGGGCAGGCAGGGGAAGGCCTTGTTGAGGTCCCACTTCTGTTTTTGCTAAATCTCATTTCAAATGAGACTCTGTTGGACTATTTCTTCTTCCTGTCACTTCTACACAAGGACAGTGTTGTTAGTGACTGGTCTGAAACCAGCAACCCCAGGGAGCAAAGACTACCTGGGGTGTGGTGACCCAGAAATCCAGTATGAGGCTCAGAGAGGTCAAGTGACTTGCTCAAAGCCACACAGCCAAGAAGTGAGAGAGTTGTACCTAAACTTAGCTTTCCAGACTTTCCAAGTCTCCCTCCATCTCAATCCTATTCCACGGCTCTGTAGCTGCTGCCTTTGAAATCAGTAGGATTCTTTCCAATGAATTCATTAGATCCTGAGCACCAGGATCTTTGCACTCTCTCTGCTCCATGTGCTGAGCTGCTTACAGCATCCTGCCATCCACAATGGCAGAAAAGTCTGTGAATACGGAGGAGCAAGGGTGGCCACGTTCCCTCTGCAGGTCTCAGGAGACAGGGCAAGAACAAGTCACATCACAATCATCTTACTTTTCTTACCAAGAAGAGATTTCCCAAACAGACCTCCTGAGACCCCACTGCCCTGCAGCCCCACAGCCACTCACCAGCGTCTGACCTAATCCCTGTTTGTCCCTTTAAAGACGAGGAGCCAGCTGAGCTCCCTGCGATCACAGTCACACCAGCCCTTGCTCCAGATGTCCAGGGAGATCAGGAGGAGGATCCTGGCGGCCAGGTAGGCGTCCAGCCTCTGCACAGGTGGAGGGATTCAAGAGACCAAAAATACTGGCCAAAAATACTTCCCTGGAGGCCTGAAATCCTATTTGAGTTTTAGCTTTCCAGGGTAAGCTTTATCTTTCTCTGAAATCACTTGAAAAATACAACTCTCTCCCTGGGCCAGTTGATTTACTGTCAACATCTTGTACTGTATACTGCCACAAGCGGTGAGGACACAAGGAATGGTCAGCCAGTTTGTCAGCAGTGAGGGGACAGTGAGACAAACCAGTTCCAGCCACCAGGGGGCTGAGATACAGTGGCAGGTGGCTGGGTGAGGATTTAGAGCCTTCCGGGTCCTGCTGCTCCTCATCCACAGAGTCATGATGCCCTGTCTTTACAGCCACCCTTTCCTCCATGATCTGGTCAAGCTGAGTTTCTTGTCTCTGTGCTTTTCTAGCCCTAGGGCTTAGCCCACGAGCTTTCCCATCTTCAGATTGCCTCATCTTGCCTCACTCGCCAGGCCCAGTGTAAATGGCTCCTTCTCCAGGCAGCTTCCCTGATCACCCCAAGTTGGAAGAGTGCTTTACATCTGTCTTGGGCCTCTTATCACTGCCTCTCATATTCTGAGCCTCTCTTGGTTCCCCTACTACAGGGTGAGGTTCCCGAGGGCCGGATCCAAGTTTGAGTCATGTCAGAGAGAGATGTCAGGTTGAGTGACTGGCAGTAAATAAATACTCAGTTTCCAAGTTCTGTCCCTGTTTGTTTCTTTATTCAACACCCAGAAGTATTCAGTTGTGTCTTATCCATAGCTCAGTGCTTTAGGGTTTAGCATCTAAGCTGTCTTCCTGTATCCTAAGTGTCCTGTGCAGACCCATTGTAGCCACTCAATTGGGAATGGTTCAATTGATGTGGAATTGCATGCAGGGAGTGATGCTTGGTCTCAACAGGACATAGGCCTGTGAGGGCCTCTGTGGCCCCAATCAATTGCTTCTCCTTCTATTTGTTGCAGTCCCTCGTTGCACCTTCTCTGCGAGCAGGCTCTGCAGCTTGGCCTCTCTGAGCTGCCCGGTTCCCTTTGTTTCCCTTATTGGTACACAATATTAAACTGTCACCCCATCCTCTTGTCCATGGGTACCAACCAGAGATTGGCTCTCAGTCTTATCAGAGAATCTGTTCAACCCAGGCCACACGCCAGGGATCCAGCTCCTACCCAGTCAGCTGTGGCCAGGGTCTAAGGTGCCTGGACTCCAACATGGAAGAAGAGAAACTTCTGTTTTGCTGGGGCTGTTGGGGGTGACAGTCCTCAGAGATGATGGTGCCATATCTAATGATTTAATGACTTGTCATCACCTCCAGGAAGTCTTTACTCCTGATGGGAATGGAGGGCAAGAATTATCTCAGACTAAAATCCTCTCCTCCATCCTCGAGTCTAAGCAGAGCCCTTGGTGGATAGTAATAATGGCTTCACCAGGTGTTCTCAGAGATGGCTGCCTGTTAGAATAATTTGGGGAAGCTTAAAAAATTGCTCAGCCCACCCTCAACTAATGAAGACGGAGTATTTGGGGTTGGTCCTTGAGAATCAGTGGTTTTAAAAGACTCCAAGTGATTTTAATATGCAGCAGAAATGAGAATCACTGAACATCCTTTGGGGGTGTTGCCAGTACTGTGACATTTACTACAGATGATATATTTATACTTACTTCATGAGCACATAGCCCAGGTCATTGCTCAAGGGCCTGGACTAGCATGGTATAGATTAGTTGGGAAACTAATCTGAGGATCCTTAGGGTCATTGACTTTTAGAGTGGAGACAGTCCATGATTCTTGAATAGTGGTCTACAGATGAATACATTAGGAGTGTGCAGAAGAATGCATTAGGTCACTGGCATCCAATCCCAGAGATCCTAATTCAGTTGGTACATGTAGACCAGGACATTTATATTTCTAATGAGCTCCCCAGGTTACCACATTTGGGAGCCAAAGGTCTCACTCAGTCCTAGAATTTGTAAAACAGTGACTTAGTGGTGAAGAGTGAAAAATTGGACTATCCATATTCAAATCCCAACCTTGTCACTTGCAAAGTCAGTGAACCACAGGCGAGTTATTTAGCTTCTCTTTATCCTAATTTCTCCATCTGTAACATGAGTATACTTCTATCTATATTATGAATTAATTGACTCAGGAAATGTGGTAAATGCTATTACTAAGAAGCCATTTATCATGTTGCCTGGCACACAAAAATGTGCAATAAATAGGTATCATCATTATTGCTTGGCACATATAAGGTAATACTGTGTACAACACTTTAGGAGTTTTAGTGGACACGGCACGGTGTTGTGACTGCCAAAGGATATTGTTAGGCAACAAAAATGGGAGAATATAAGACAGGGAGCTGATCAATGGGTTCCGCTCTGTGGATGTTGTGTTCAGCTGGCAGGTCCTCCAAGGGGTATAGAATGAGTTATGAAGATGTGGAGGGGTCTCTAGGTCACAGCATGGGAGAGGGACAGAAGGCCTGGGAATCTTCAACCCAGGCAAAGCGGCTGTCCTGTGGAAGGTTCTGTATGGCTGCAAATAGTGAACTTATAAACTGGGAGTAGAAGTTTGATATAAATATGGACTTCAAACCAAGAAGAGCTGTTAAAGATGGCATAAGCTGCCTCAGGTGGTGAGCTCTCCATCACTGGAAATGACAAAGTAAAAGACAATCACCAGGTAGGAATGTTGTAGTAGGAATTTTGTTGAATTTTTGTTTTCTCCTTTAAGTATTCAGGTACAGTCTGAGAATAACCAAAAAGTGTGTGTGTGTGGTGGGGTGGAGCTTGGAAGGGAAACAAGCACAGCAGTTGCCACAAATTAATCTGTTGGCTCTGGATTGCAGGAAGATGTGGCTGGAGCTGAGAGGAGAGGCGAAAGAACAGATGAAGAGGGTGAAATTTCAGAGAAAAGTGGAGGGGATGCTCACTCAGAAGGGGAAGGTGAAATGGGAGCAGGAAAAAATGAACATGAAGATAAAACTGAGACAGAAGGAAAAAAACATGAAGGTGAAACTGAGGCGGGAGGAAAAGATGAACAGGAAGATGAAGGTGAAATCCAAGCAGAAGATGGTGAAATGCAAAGTGAAGCTGAAGCACAAGAAGTCAAAGCTGAAGTTCAAGAAGTCAAAAATGAGGAGAAAGATGCAGATGGTGAAGGGAGGAGTGACGGAGGTGACAGTGAAGAGGATGATGAAGAGGATGAGGAGGAAGATGACGAAGAGGAGGAAGAGGAGGGAAACGAGGAGCCTCTGTCCCTGACCTGGCCTGAGACCAGGCAGAAGCGAGCCATTTACCTCTTCCTCCTGCCCATCGTGTTCCCACTGTGGCTGACGGTGCCCAATGTCCGGAGGCAGGTGAGTGTGCCCATCCCCAGGAGCTGTGGGGCCTTGAGGCAGTCAGGGTTCATCCCTCAAGAGCAGGCAGCAGGTGGGAAAAGCACGGTGGGGCTCTACCTGTGAGGAAGTGGGATGGGACCATGGTTCTGGAGGGGACCATAAGCCTGGGGACACCCATGGGGACCAGGGCCCTAGACCATACTGGTACCTTACGTTGGTCACTATAAGCAGCATGGACTAGTCACTCCTTGATTCTTATCTTCATTTCTTGATTATTTGGGAATGATGCCACTGTACCACTTCCTCATTTCATGGGGTGTTCTAAAAACCCAGGGTGATGGCTGGTATTTCTACCCAACATTCTTATCTCTAGGGAAAAGTCTGACTAATGTCTTCCACGCAGAGGTAGTTCCTGTTCTGTTTCTGGGGCCAGAGGAAGTGGGGCAGGGAGACTTGCAAAAGCCCAGCTGAATGCCAAGATGGGTCTGCTGCTGGGCCAGCGATAGCCTGCTTGTCTGGTGGCTACTGAGCCCTTCTTCTGGCTCCCTGTCCCCACTCCTTATTCATCCATCTCAAGGCCCTCCCTGGAGAGGGCGTCTCCAGATCCTCCTCATGGTGCCCCATTGAAGGGCCAAAGGCCTTCAGCTTCTACAACTTATTTTTCTTCCTTTGCAAACTTTCCCACAGGAGTCCAGGAAGTTTTTTGTTATCACCTTCCTGGGATCCATCATTTGGATAGCCATGTTCTCATACCTCATGGTGTGGTGGGCTCACCAGGTGAGTGGACAGCATGAAGTCACTCCTGTACCAGCAGGTCCTGGGAGCAACTTTGTCCATTCAGATCAATTTCCAGCTCTCAGGGACTATTGAGCACCAAGTGGATAGTGTAGTTTCTACCGTGTTTGTAAAAGTTTAGAAAGCAGATTTTTTTTATTCCAGTGAGTGTAGTGCTTTTTAGGGTAGCTTTCCTGTCTTAGATGGCATTCCTACCAGAGCATGACAGGGAGTCCTGAGTGTCTTCACTGCAGCTGATTTGGTCCTCTTAGCCCTTTCTCTGCCTTCTCTCCCATGCTGACAGCTAGCTCAGCTTTGCCCACTCTCTGGCATTTCATTGAGCACTCATGGCTTTTCTGGTCTGCCTGTAACTGCACGTAGCAGAGCTGTATTTGTTTGTGAGCCATTTCACCCAGCCGAGTAGGATCTGTGCAGCACTGCTCATACTTTATCAGCCTCTACCTTAGTTCTGGCACATGGCAGGGGTCCACATTTCTGAAATGGAAGTGCTGACTTGAGTAGACCTTTGGAAGGGCAGTTCTTTGGGGAACTGTTGGAATGATGGTGAGGGGCAGATCTGGTCTCTGGTTTTTATCCAGTTTAGAGAAGAGCAGCATGGTTCCCTGCAGCCTGGAGCAGGGGCCTTTCTCCCTGTGGCCATTTCTGGCCCTCACTTAGGCAGAGTGTGTGTGCTGAGTTCCTAGGAAGGTGCTCTGTTTGCAGAGTAGCATGCGGTTAGTTTTTCTCCTGCTGTTTCCATGGTTTTCATGACTTGCTGTTTTCCAGGTTGGTGAAACAATAGGGATTTCGGAAGAGATTATGGGCTTGACAATCCTAGCAGCAGGTACATCAATTCCTGACCTCATCACGAGTGTGATTGTTGCCCGGAAAGGCCTGGGAGACATGGCTGTGTCAAGCTCAGTGGGCAGTAACATATTTGATATCACCGTGGGGTGAGTGGCTGGCTACTTTCCAAGGCATCTTCAGTAGAACTAGAAAACACTGCATTGCCTCTGTTTGCTGGCTTTCTGCTTCGTTCATTATACAGGAAATGAAGGGGCATTTATGTTGTCAGTTTCTCCAAAACAGCAAAGTAGCTATCATTTATCACAGCCAGTTGGGGTAATAGAAGAACTAAAATGCTGCCTGTAGCCAGGCACGGTGGCACATACCTGTAATCCCAGATATGTGGGAGGTGGAGGGAGGAAGATCTTGAATTTGAGGCCAGCCTAGGCAATTTAGCAAGACCTTATCTTTTTTTTTTTTTTTGGTACTGGAGATCAAACTCAGGACCTTGTGCTTTTGAGGCAGGCGCCGGAACCGCTGAGCTAAATCCCCAGCCCCAGCAGGACCCTTTCTTAAAAAAAAAAAAAAAAAAGCTGTCTGAAACATCACTGGTTGAAATTTGTAGATGAAAAGTGGAGTCCATCTCATTCCCAAATACAGATGGTGAAGGTGGTGGAGGAGGGGCTGGAAGGAGCCATTTCAGTCTTCTCCTGCTCTTTTCATGTGACCTCCTGCTGGTTCAGCAGCTCTAAAAACGCCTCTGTCCTCTCCTTCCAACCTTTTTCCAGCCTCCTAACCTTGCCAGAGGTTATTTTCATTTCCCCAATCAAGTTCTGGATTTGGTTCTTTAACTGAATATTCATAGGAGCATATTAGTGGTGTGGTGGTAAAAAGGCATACAAGAACCCTGGTCACTAAAGAAAAAATTAAGTCAGCTAACCTGGGTTAGTCATATAGAAGTCATGAAGCTGCAGGGGGAAAAAAAGGCCATTTCAGAACCAGAGCGCTCATTTTAATCTAGGCTCTCTCAACGATTAGCTGTGAATTCTTGGATAAGTTCTTTAATTTCCTGGAAACTTAAATTTCATCATCTATAAAATGGGGCTAATAATTTCTGCTGTATTTGGTAGTTTTGCACATGTGTGAAAAATAAGTCCCTTGTAAAGTGTAAAATGCTAATTAAGTACATGGAATTATTATAAACATGAAGAATATTCACATTGTTTCTTCAATCTTGCAGCTTGCCCGTCCCTTGGTTGCTTTTCTCCCTTATCAACGCATTGCAGCCCGTTCCAGTCAGCAGCAATGGTTTGTTCTGTGCAATTGTTTTGCTTTTCCTCATGCTTCTGTTTGTCATCTCTTCAATTGCATGGTGCAAATGGAGAATGAACAAGATCCTGGGCTTCACTATGCTCCTTCTTTACTTTGTGTTCCTAATAATCAGTGTGATGTTAGAAGACCGCATCATATCCTGTCCTGTGTCTGCCTGAGTCAGAGATTGCTGGGCACCAAGGACATAGGTGGGAAGCCCAGGTCAGAAGTTACTGGACCTCTTGTAACATTAAGGACGAACATGATCCAGGAGAGTGGAGCGAGCAGCCTGTTACAGCCTTTGGTGTGAATGTGACTTGGGCCCCAGCCGTATCCTTGGAAACACCTGTGGATTAAGGAACCTGGTGCTGGGAGGGTGGCTTTCCTACCCCGACTCAGGCACGGGGCTATCACACGGAGGCATGAGGAGCCCTGCCGTCAGACACTGGGGGAAGGGTGGGACCACACAGCAGCAAGAAGACAAGCTCCCCGGCTCGCAGTTAGTTACCTGGTCATTCCTGAAGTGCCCTGATCCAAAGATGCAGATGGAGTCTAAATCTCACTTTCCTGGCCCTGGCCAAGCACACACTGCAGTTTGCTATGTCCTCTCTTTCTGTTCAAAGGTGAAGTTTTACCAGGTTTGCAATCACTACAGGATTGGTTATTAGGGAGCTATGGCTACAGGAAAAAAAAAGATAACAATCAGTTATTCTCCATTATAGTCCAGCGATGTATGTACCACTAGTTTCTAGCTTAAAAGGAAGACGTTAGCTTTTACTGATGCATTTCTGGAAGGTGAAATACAAACACGAATCAGAGAAATGAAAATTTATTACTTGCCCTTGATTTGGAAGAAGTGGAGAACAGAAAACTACTCTAAGGGCTATTTAAAAATTTATACTTATTAGAAAACCCAAGTTTGTGTTGTTTCCATCAGTGGCGACCTCAAGGATTAGGCATTCCAATAAAGCTGCCCTGGCACTGCCCCTCCCACGTGTTCTCATTGAGCAATGATGTGACTTTAAAGAGCCCAAAGTCAGCAGACCCAAATCTGGTTTATAAAGTAAGCAATCCAGTAGGACAGTTCTATTTTTTGTACATCAACCTTGACAGGATTGTAAGGCAAGACTGATTTCTTGTGTGATTTGTAAGTGGATTTTAGGGCAGTTTACAAAGGGGAAATTCTAAAAATAACATAATGACTATGAGGTGAGAACAAAGTATCACTAAGTTAGCTACTGTAAAAGACATGTATCTTAAAAATTTATGTGTTTAGAGCTGGGTGTAGTGGTGCACACCTGTGATCCCAGCACTCGGGAGGCTGAGGCAGGAGGATCGCTGCGAGTTTGAGGCCAACCTGGGCTATGTAGTGAGATCAGGGCCAGCCTGAACTACAAAGGGAGACCCTGACTCAAGAAGCAAAACAAACAAACAAAAATTAAATAAAAAATGAAAATTTATGTTTAAGCATTTTATGTGGATTTTGATAAACTCATGTCACTGGTTTCAGAGCAAAAGTTTAGGTGACCTCAGATTATGACAGCAAATATGGCTTTAATTACAAATATGAGGGATGATTCACTAAAGTACAAAGACAGTGGGACAGATGTGATGTGAAAAAACAGAATCAATCATTTGGTGTTGGATGGCTAAGGTGTGCAAAGCACTCCATCTTTTAAGAAAGCTGGTTCATTTAATTAACTGCCACACTGCTTCAGGATGCCCATTCTTTGGAAGTAATTTTTATTAAATTTCAATAAAAATATGAGTCCTAGTGGCATTTTATTTTATAAACATGGGTGGGTTCATCCCTGTCTTAGGTCATTTGGTCAGAATGGTGAAGCATATGAAATCTTGTTCAAATTTCATATACTTAAATTAATTATCCTCATTCTTGCTGCCATACTGTGGTGTTTCCATATGCCAGGGCCTAAGACTAGGAGGACAGAACAATATCGAAATCCTCGGTGCCAACCTGGTATCTGCACCAATTCCAGGTGGATTTGAGGATGTCACCTCCTCACTGACAGCCTAAGACCTGATGCTGTTCATCAGATTAAGTAAAGAGGGATGGGTGGTCAAATGTTCTGTAGTGACAGTGTGGTAAGATAAGTGATTTAATAATTAAAGCCAACTCTCATTATCTAATATCCTATTCCCAGTGTGCTGAAATTCAGGCATTTTCCTCGACTCCAAAGGAAGTTCTGATCACTTTACATCATGACAGGAAAGGACAAGTACAAAAATGAAAGCTGAGTCTTGGTGGATGGGTAGGAAATTCAGGTTGGGTTGAGGGTGGGGAGAAGATTTCAGGGAGATGGAAAACAATGTAACTTCTAAAGGATCAATTTTTATTGTACATTTACAAATCCATAACTTAACTAACATCATACCTTTTTAGAGGTAAAGCACCATTTAAAAAATGTCAAGATAATATTTTTTGGCACTCTCACTGGACAGGTCAAATGATCTGTATAGTTACCTGGGGCAAATTAGAGGTCATTCATTCAGCCTAGAAAGTCTTAATGTTGTTACCACGCAGGTGTCTGAACTGGAAGACAAAGGCTGATGGGTGTGATGGGTGACTTTGTCCCTCTTGGGGTTGCATTTCCTTGATGGCCCTGGTAATAGGTTTGTGCTAGATTTTTGAAAGTGTAAAATGGGCTAAGATTCTATATAGTTCCTGAAAAAAGACCTATTTCAAAGTTTTGAAAATTGATATGTTTAAACTGTTATTATACATTTTGAACATTATATTGTATGGTCATTAATAGATCTGAAAATAACTTTTAAAAAAATCAAATTAGGGCCAGGGATTTAGCTCAGTGGTGCCTTGCCTGCCTCGGAAGCTCAAGGTCCCGACTTTGATCCCTGGTACCCCCCACCAAAAAATACAAAAAACCCCCAAATTAGAGGTTTTTCTTTTCAAATCACACTGCTTATATCATAATTATAATTTAAAAATAGTACCAAAATGGGTAGGAATTAGGATTTAATATTTAGGGCACAATCTGGTAAATACACAGAGATAAACTGGTGGGCTGTATGTGCCAATGAATACCCTTGGTTCTGACCCCTTTTTTGTGGGAGGGTCCCCTGTAGGTGCAGCCTGCATTGTATTCAGGGACTTGTCACTCTAAAAGATGCAAAGATAGGACTCATGGACAGGCTTGTCCATCCCCCGGGGTTACTAGAGCTTGGCAGGTTACCCTGGCATAAGTCTCCTGCACAACCAAAGGTGCATTTCTGGTGTTCAAGTCCTTCACCGTGATGAGCAAACACAATCTGGAAAATTTTAATTGTAGAAAAGTCCATCAGTTATCCTGTGTTTATCACAGTACTAAATTTGAAAAGAAAATCTTTAGCAGGGGGATGATGCACACCTGTAGTCCTAGCAATCAGTAGGCTGAGGCAGGAGGATTGCTGTGAGTTTGAGGCCAGCCTGTTCTCCACAGTGAGCTCAAGGCCATCTGAACTACATAGTTAGACTCTGTCTCAAAAAAAAAATTCTTTAAATTCAAAAGCATGGAGGGCCGGGGATTTAGCTCAGCAGTTCCGGTGTCCACCTTGCAAGCGCAAGGTCCTGAGTTTGATCTCTGGTACCAAAATAAAAACAAAACAAATTCAAAACAAATTCAACTGCCAAAGGATGGCAGTTGTGGAAAGGTAACAGTAACTTTATCAGAAGAGTCTGTTACCATCTCAGAATAAAAGGACATGTGTAAAGACTTTTGGAATGAGAAAGATTCCTATATTGATTTGTGCACTGCTACTATTATAAACAAAAACAATTCCTCCAGCAAATGTGTTTTTGTTGAGGTCAGAGGAAGATGGTGTATGGTAACATGAAAGGATGATAAGACACTAAGTACTGAGAATATTAAGGTAAACTGGCTTGTAGCTGCTAGATTTCCATTCCGAAATGAAGCTTAGTGTTAACATCCAAACAGGAAGGGGCAGAGCATGCTAACTAGCACAAAGGCAAGGGTCCTCTTAGAGAGGCAGTCTGGTCTCTCCCTTCTTGCTCTGAGATTGAAGTGCCTAACAGCAACTTTTTATGTGCTAGTAGAAGAAGTAAAAATAAAGCTGGACTATGGCACATTACTGAGCAAGTATTTTCTTTCTACCTGCCACAAAGTGTTTAAAAATGCAACATAACTTCTATAAAGAGCTAACACTTGCTAGTTGCAATAAAGTATAATAGTAATTATAAGCATTAAGTAAAAATAAGTATTTATTGTCTAAAATGTTGAGCCAACATTTTCCAGGGCCATTTCTCTACATACAAAAATGGGGAGACATATTAGAAAACTTTAAAATAAGCTTGTAGTTTTAGAGTTTTAAAGGAAAAAAAACACTTTAGGAGAATCAGAAATAAAGATAAAATGAGATTAACAGCTGCATAACTCCCTATCTGGTAACAGGAGGAAAAAGTTGAAATCTGAAATATAAAATACCAAAGAGTGACACTCAGACATAATGAGAGGAAGAAGTAAACAAATATTACTAGTACAGAGCAGGATTTATTTTTTTAACAATTTAAACATATAAGCAAAACTGAGTAAGAAAATAAAGAGAGAACATGATAAAGGGCATCTCTCTCAAACATCATTGGCCATGATTCTTCAAAATGTATGGTCAACAGAGAGAAAACTGAAAAGTTTGTACAGCATTATTTAAAGGATGATCCCTGTTGTAATTCTCTTTGGAGCAGGGTGTACCATTTTCTACTCATGTTTCAGGTTTTATTTTTGTTTGTTTTTTGCAGTGCTGGAGATTAAACACAGGGTCTCACCCATGCTAGGCAAGTGCTCTACAACTGAGCCACATCTCCAGATCCAGGTTTTATTTTTAAAGACTTTTTGCAATAATATTCTCTCCGGATTAAAAATAGGGGAAACAGGGCTGGGGATTTAGCTCAGTGGTTTTGCCACCTGCTGCGCAAGCGCAAGGACCTGAGTTCGGTCCCCGGTACCAAAAAAAAAAAAAAAAATAGGGGAAACAAAACTCTATCAAAAGTCAGAAACAAAAATAAAACTCAGGATGGGAAGGAGGAGATAAAAATTACATTCACTTTTCCAAATGAGTTTTAACCATAAAGAATGGGCTTTGCCTTACTTTTTTTGTCAGATATCTGAAATCAATTAAGTATGATTTCTACATATTGTTTACAGAAAAAGTAAGTAACAGTGTAAGCTGTTCTTAGAAGGGAACAACACAGAAACAACAAAGAAAACCAGAAGAGAACCCCAGAATCCTGTTTGGATGGATGCATACCACCAACACCAAAAGCTTCCTCTATCAAATGTTACTCTAAGCTGACAACTTTCTAATGACTTATAGAGCACAAGAGTCAGTTAGAATGTGAAGGCTGGATCTGAACAGTAAAGACCAAGAATGGAGTGAGTGGTATTTACATAGGAGAGGCAGATAGAATGTGCATAGCACCAGATTTTTCAAGTAAGCAAGTTCAGCCCCAACCTAATTGAACTGAAGTTTTTAAACTCTTTCCATTATTTGTCAGAGTAAAAAAGCTGTGGAATGTTTTAGTTTGGTGCAACTCAATAATGGCATGAATTCAAAAGGTAGTTTTTCTGCAGATAAACCAATTCTAAGCCTCAGGGCTCCAAGTTATTTCCAGTGTAAGCATCGTGGACTCAGCTGACTTTACACTCCAATTTGGGACCATCATTTTTTTCTTCTTTAAAATTGGCTAGAGACCTCTTTGATAAATGGCAGTCTGTGCAAATGCACACATGTATTGAATACATATAGTAAATAATTCTAACGGCAAGGGATGCTTTTTCCTTATCAGAAATTACCCAAAGAAACTGATACTGGAAATGATGTGACTAAAACATATTTTCAAAATCAATTTAACACTCCCGGTGTTTAAACATTCAATTTATTTTCTGACTCCTGGATTATTTCTGCCTTTTAGATTCCACAAACTTCAGATTCTGAAGCTTGTTGAAAAAGCTAAATTCCTCAATATGGGAAATTCTACCTGGCTGTACTTTTAGAGGGTTATGATTTTTCTACTTTCAAAAAAATACTTTGAATATTTATATATACTATTAACAGAATACCCCAGTAATCGTTTCAGATAAATATTTTATAGTATACTTTGTATCATGCTCAACATTTTAGATAGTAAAATAAGGATGAAATTTGGAATAGAGTCAACTGTCATATTTCCAATGTACTCTCAAGGAGAGTATTAAAATTTAAATTGCTATTTGGATTGTGAGCTGTTTTCCCTGTGTACTGTAGGTATCTATTAGCAACAGAGGAGAATATGGAGCTGTTGTACAGTGAACCTCTGGCTCGCCTTCCACAAGGCTCAGTGAGCCCAGAGGGGAAGCACACACCGCCCTCACCATGACTCTGCCATCAGGTGGAGGGGTGCTAACATGCAATCCTAGGGTGATGGCGACACTAGCACTGACACTTTAAAATTCATTCTCCCAAGTAATAAAAAATATATATATATAGATGTACATAGAGAGATCTATAGAGATCTGTAGCTGTACTAATTACTTTGAATAGCAGCAGACAAGGAAAATAAACACTTGCTTGTGTCATAAGTTTAAATTCATTTTAAGTTTGCTATATTAATTTTAAAAATTAAAAAAATATCAACTTACTATAAACAATTTAAAATATGTATAATACAATTTCATGGTCAAAACATTTGAAGAGTCTATGAAAACAGGAGATACTTTGATCTTACATTGCTGTTTTGGTTCCACACATGGTTTTTATGTCTCTTTCAAGAGAAACCATAAAACGTTTGTCTTATTTTATGGCAATCAATTCTGTTTAGGATTTCCTCATCACAAAAATACTTAATTACTTATTATAGGGGAGTCAAAGAAAAAAGAAATGGGAAACAAAGTGGCTCCTTCCCTATTTGTTACTACTCTCTTCAGAAAACATTCTGTACATAAGCTGTCTGAACCTTCCAAATCATTTACAAATGCATTCTTAAAATTTGAAGAAAAAAGTTTAGCATCTAAAAGTGTTATTTTATACAGTGACTATACAATATACACACACACATCTTAAAGATAAGGTTCTCCAAAGGTTTTTCGACATTCCATCACCCCCGTGCTTGGTGGTCTGTCACAGTTGTGCGTACTCTTGACTTGACTAGGTGTGAGACGATCATATGCCATCTTGTATTCCTTGTCAAATGCATCTGCAAAAATTGATAAAGAAATACAAGCATAAAGAAGTTTAAGTCTGATGCAGACAATCAAGTTTCTAAATAACTACAGAACCACAAAATTAGGGGTCAAGAAGAAATCTTCAGGATATTTCTGCCATTCAAAGGACCACTAATTTCAAGGTTAGAAGGGTGGCCTTAGACTTTGCAGTATTTTAGAGCTAGACTATACAGGCCAATTTTTTCTTGGTTTTTTTGGTACCAGGGATTGAACTCGGGATCTTGCGCTTGCGAGGCAGGCGGCAGAATCAGAGCTAAATCCCTGGCACTTATACAGGACAATTTTAATTCTACCAAAACTACCAAATATCATGCAGCCTTTTTGTACCTTGTTTTTCATACTCAAATTTACCTGTATTTTCTTTACTTTTATGGTTTAATATTTTACATTTAAATTTTTGCTCCAATTGGAATTTATGTGTCCTACACTTTCTATTATGGGATAACGTTGGGAAAATACCCAAATATCTTTTTTTTGTTGTTGTTTTGTTTTGTTTTTGGTACTGGGGATCGAACTCAGGTCCTTGCACTTGTGCAGCAGGCGGCGAAACCACTAAGCTAAATCTCCATCCCCCAAATATCTTTTGACATCATCAAATAATGGTATTTTCTCTTTCACATGGAAATAGATGAGGCTAATAAGCTGAGGCTTTTATTAAGGATATCATACCAAGACCTCTATGCTTCCTTTTCAGAAGATAATTCACATGCAACAAAAAAAGACCACAGGTTTGTAAATTTTTGTTAAAAGTTCTGTGTAGAAATCATGCTAATTGACCACTTATTTTTAAATACATACTGGAGAAAACTTTGACCCTTAGGGATCAAAGTGAGGTATGAATTCGGTTTAAATGTCACTAGGCTTTAGGGAGATGACAGATATTAGAGTGTCTTCTCCCCCTGAAAAGGTGCCACAGTAGTGCCAATGAAGGCTGCTTTGACAGCAAATGCATGAGCAAATAAGCATCTCCAATTTAGAGGTCCAGAAACATGAAACCCCTCTGGCAAATATCTGTGTGTGCTCTGGGTGTGTATTGGGCAGACAACAAAGGAATGATAAAAATGATCTGAGTTCTCTTCCTTGGTATCTTCTGTTTCATTATATTTAAAAAGCCTAGCTCAAAGAATAATGTTTCTGACTTTGGCAATTTCCAGCATCTTCCCCCTAAGTGGCTAGAATGATCATTCCAACATTCTTCAACAGTCTGCTTTTCCTAACTGATTTTATCACGTTTTATTCCTATAGATGTCTGGGTCTATCTCTAGATTCTATCCCTGTCCTACTGATTTTTCTAGCGCTGCTTGCGCTACCTCACTCTGTTGTAGTTACAGTAGCTTCTACAGGGGCAAATCCCACTAATCTTTATGTAGTATTTCCTGACTAGTCCTTTTTTTTGGTCAGGGACAACTCATATACCATACAATTCATTAATTTTTAATGTAAAATTCAGTATATTTTATATATTCATAGTATTGTACAACCATCACCATGATCTAATTAAAGAACATTTCATCTCACCAAAAAGAAACTTGATAGCAGTTAGAAATCATTCTCTATTCATCCCTCTTCCTAGCTCTTAGCAACCACTAATCTTTCTATCAGCACAGATTTGCCTACTCTGGAAATTTCATATAAATGCAATCATACAACATATGGTCTTATGTCTAGCTTCTTTCACTAAGCATGTTCTCACAGTTAACTCATGTTGTAGCATGTATCAGTACTTCATTCCTTTATAACTGGTAGTATTCCATTGTATAAATATGCCACTTTTATTTATCCATTCATTAGGTGATGCATATTTAAATTTTTTCTACTTTTTGGCTAATATAAATAATGTTGGTATGAACAATGATGTAGAGGTCTCTGTAAGAACATGTGTTTTTACTTCTCTTAGTTACATATGCAGGAATGGAATTGCTGGGTCATAGAGTAGCTCTGTTTATTTAACATTCTGAAGAGATACAAAATTGTTTCCACTGACTATATCATTTTACATTCATACCAGCTGGTCCCAATTTCTCATTTCAATTCCTTTATTTTGTTTTACTACATATTTTTGATTCCTGCCCATCCCTACCAGATTACTTTTCCAGTTGAACATTGGAAACATTTGTCAAATTTCTTTCTTCTTTTTTTTCTCTCTCTCCCGCTTCCTTTCCTCCTCTCCTCTCTTTCCTTCCTTCCTTCCTTCCTTCCTTTCTTCCTTCCTAGACAAGGTCTTGCTATGTAGTTCAGGCTGCTCACTTTGGCAGCAAATATACTAAAAAATAAGAAACTTGCTGGGCATGATGGTGCATGCCTGTAATCCCAGAACTCGGGAAGCTGAGGCAGGAGGATTGTCACGAGTTTGAGATCCATTCCCTTGTCCCTTTCTATCCATCCTTTATCATTTTCTTTGTACTTTGCCTTACTCAAATGAGAGATGCCATATGTTATTTAAGGTTATGTGTCTGGTTTATTTCACTCAACATTATATTTTCCAGATGGATCCAATTTTTTACAAATATCTCAGATGTCATTGTTTATAGCCAAGTAGTATTCCATTATATATAGTTGCCACATATTCTTTATCCAATCGTCTGTTGATGGGTATACAGGCTGCTTTCAGGATTTAGCTATTATGAATTGTGCTGCTATAACCACTGGTATGCATGTATCACTGTAGTATGATGACTTAAACTCTTTGGGGAAGATACCTAGCAGGGGGATAGCTGGGTCAGATGGAATTTCTAATTTCAGTTCATTGAGAAATCTTCATACTGATTTTCATAATGGTTGTACTAGTTTGCAATCCCACCAATAGTGAAGGAGGGTTCCTTTTTCACCACAGTAAGGCCATTGTAGTATAAGCCAATTTCCCACTCCTATCTCATATATGAGCAAATTTATTTTCTAACCAAATTAGTTTCTTTGTCCATAAAATATTTAAAATATTATACTGATCTAATAATTTCATTCTATTAAGATGCTTACCATTTCACTCACACACTCCTTTGCCATCAAATTCTACACTCTATCCCTTGGTAGGAAGGCTGACCATTTCCAGGGGTACAAGATGCTTGTGGCTAGATGGCCCCTGATAAACCTGTGGGATACCCAGCTAGGGATAGCTACTATGTTTAGCCTTCTGGTTCATTCACTCGTTGCTGCTCTCTCACAGCATGCCCCTCAGTGAGCTGCTGGCAAGCAGACTCAGGAGAGACCCTCTGCTTTCACCCAAGCCCATGTGGTCTCTCTGAGGCATTTGTAAGAGCACTTATGTCTGCTATTCACCATTACGACTCTGATCTGCTAGTAAATGCATGGGGCACTTCAAATGCCAAACGAAGCAATGATGCTGAAAAATTAACCTGTTTTTCTTAAAACCAGTGTACAATCACCTAATAGAAGTGTTGTCCACCACATATGCTAGTGAGTGGGCTTATGTAGGGCTCCTAAGTCAGATATCACTCATCAGATGTATCAGTTACCTTTTTCCTCAACCTGTTCACAAAATTATAAATTCTCAAACAGAATGCCAAAACTCTACTGTGTATTTCAATGGCTAACAGCCATTTTAATAAAGTCTACCACTGATTTTCTTCTTTTTGCCTATCAGAGGTTATTTCTACTTTTTCTTAGAACTTGTAAGTAGAAATCTAAAAGAGGTCAAGCTAACTTGATGCAGTAGTGTACACCTGTAGTTCCAACTATTTGGGAGGCTGAGGCAGATGGACCACTTAAGCCCAAGAGTTCAAGACCAGCCTGTGAAACATAGCAAACCTCTGTCTCAAAATGACAACAACAAAAAAGAGGCTAAGCACATTAACTGGCAGAAGGAGCTGACCAACAAAAGTCTGGGAATTCCTATAATTTAGCTGCCTTATATTCATTCTGAGAAAGCTCAATGTTATTAGTGATATAACACATTGTTTAAAGCATGGGATTGAAAATTAAGACTCCAAGACTCCTTGATTAAAATACAGCTCTTTATTTACTGTACAACCAGAGATTAAGTTACTTAATCTTTCAGACTCGCAGTATCCTCTATAATATAAAAAAATACTAGACCCCATGCTCATAGGATTTGCAGGAGAATTATATGTAATAATAAATGTAAAAGGCTTGCTACTGTGTGAAGCACTAAAAATACTAATTTTTATTATTTATCATTATTACTACTACCATGATCAAAAGCATCAAAGTATCTTTTACATTACATTAAAAAACTAAATAATTTTTGTGGTAAACTAATATAATTTAATATTAGTACAATAAACCTAATGATATAAAACACTTTAAAAACTACACTATGCTATACAAATATCATACATTATTTATTATGCTGAGTTACCTATATCAATATTTTCTCTTCCCAGTGCCACAAGTGAAAGAAACAGTATTTCTCTGTATAAACTCCTGGGGGGAAAAGGCATAGAGAAAATATTAGTATCCACATAGTTTATATGTTCTGTATAAGAAGTTTTGTAACACAAGCATGAAACATTCTAAAAAGAACTAAGCAAACAAGATGCACCTGCTTACAGGAACACTAAGTTCATTTAAGAGAATGACTTACCTTTGTCTTTTAAAATGTGGACATTTACTCAGTGTCTCTAAAATCTGACTCATTGGTCCATAAACATCATTCATTTTAATGCTTTTTACCATACTTTTCAATAGTTCCTGGTTAAATGAGTTATCTTTTTTTTGCAATAAATGCACCATTGGATACTTCTGAGCTGTAAAAGAAGAAAAGAGCAGATGAATGAAATGGTCTATGTAAAAAGAAGAAAAATTAAACAGCATTGACAGCTGTTAAAGTTACAGAGCAATAAAAATAAATTAAAGACAATAGATAAAGAAATAGAAATCTATGATTGAAAAAAGCAAAAAAGGAAAAAGACAAAAGATGACAAAAATAGGCCTAAAGCTTTCTGTGACCGCAAATACACAGTAATCAAAAATATTTTCCCTTAATACACCCCCTGAAGGAAACTCTACATTAGCAGCCATGGATGTAAACAAATAAAAAATAAGTAAAAAGAAACTGGGACAAGCAATGTGCTGAAAGCTGAACTGTACAAAACATAAGCCCTCCAGCATGAAAACATGACTCAAGAACAAAAACAAAACAAAGCCACCAAAAAAAAAAAAATTGATCTCCACAGAAGGTAGCACTAAAAAAGTAAAACTTAACACTCACTCTCAAACAAAAGAGTACGATTTTGACCTGTAAGAAAAAAGTAGTATAGGGAAATACAAGTCAGATATATATATATATATAATTTTAGGCTATTTAAAGCAAGTCGAGATTACTCTTGCAATGAATGAATGAAGTTAGCATTCTATGACAACACTTACTGTGGGCATTCCAGAGGATGTACAGAGGCTGCCCTGGATCCTGATGTAATTTCATATTGTCCCATAACATTTGTATTAAAACATATTTGCTATCTTCAGACATACAGTGGCGGGGAATCTATGTTATAGAACAAAACATTAATTAATGATCCTTACATGATTTTTGTGAATATTTTAAAAAACCTTTATAATTGTCTAGAAGGATATACGTGTGAAGGAGAGCAAAGAGAACAGAAAATGACTCATGTGTATGCTTCTGACATCTACTAAAGAAAGATGGGCTAAGTTGAGAACCCAATGATCTCTAAAGGAGTAGATTTAACACAATACTTGAAATGAGTGAAAAGGGATTCCATGAAGGGCTCTTCTTGTCCCTGATCATGAAACAGAGCCCACAGAAAGATGCATTCAAGAGGGCTGGGGATTTAGCTCAGTGGTTCCGCCACCTGCCTTGCAAGTGCAAGGACCCGAGAGTTTGATCCCTAGTACCAAAAACAAAAACAAAGGTGGATTCAAGAACTGAAGCCAGGGGGGCTGGGGATTTTGCTCAGTGGTTCCACCGCCTGCCTCACAAGTGCAAGGTCCCAAGTTGGATCCATGGTACCCCCCCCCCCCACAAAGAACTGAAGCCAGGACACTGTGCATGCTAAGCAAGCGCTTTACCACTTAGCTGTATCCTCAGTCCAAGGAGTCCCATTCTTTATCAGCCCAAGACCCTTGCCCAGATAACTATGACCGAGTTACGTTTTTGTCATCCATTTAAGATGTACTGAAAATCAAAAGTACCTGCACAGTCACAGACATGAAGTACAAGAAGAGAGAAAGCAAAGTTCCTGAACTTAGAAACTGTACTTTAATGGTGGTGACAGCATATAAAAGACACATAAGGAGGGTGGTGCTGTAGCTCAGTGGAAGAGCACTTGCCTTGCATGAGTGGAATCCTGGGGTTGATCCCTAGCACCACAAATATAAATAAAGAAGAAAATGTACACATAACAAACTAATTAACTGGATGCTAATCAACAATTCAGAGTGAGAGAATAAAGAGACTGGTACTACATGCTTGCAGAATGAACTACATTCATCCTCCTAAAAGCATCAGTCTTATGTTTTGAAGGTTGGAATAAGGTTGAGGTTAATGCACAAAGCCTTCTCATAAGAGTCACTTCCAGTTTATTCCTGAAGTGGTAACAAAAATACAAGAATGTTTTCTGTAAAGTTTAGAGGGCAGCTCAAAAACATGACTATGTTACAGTTAAACTAGAATAAAAAAATTATTGGGGCCACTGTACCACTGCCCCAGAGTACCAAAGAGGTGAGCCGTGTGGGCACCAGCACTCCCCACTTCTGTCTGTGCCGAGCCATTACCTGGATCCACACTGCAGAGTTGCAGGGGTCATAAAGGACATGTTCTGAGCTTGAGAAGATAGAGTAGAAGTGAACAACAGAAAGAGGGCCTCTCTGAGGCCCGTTGATGAAAATTAAAGCTCACTGGAAAAGTGAAGAAAATCTCTGCAATAAAGGGACATCAGACCACCTTAGTTGGGGGAGCAGCAGTTTGGACCAAAGCAGCACAGCTGCAAGCAGATCCCAGCCAGGGCTCCACCCTGACCCCAGAGGCTGGGGCACACTGGCCTAAGCCAAGGGCCCACCTGGAGAAGAGCTGCACAGGCACACAAGCAACAGCCAGAGGTTCGCCCCAATACCATCAGTAAGTGCGTGAGACCCTAGCCAGAAGCTTACACAACAGGAAGTGAGGTGAACAGCCCCCAGCCAAAGGCCCTCCCAGAAAACAGCTACACAGGGGCCCTAGCCAGTGGAACATCTAGATACTATCCCAAGTGTGCACAGGCCCCAGCCAGAAGCCCACCTAGACAACAGGTCAGCTCAGGGATCCAGAAGGCCACCTTTCTGAACCCAGGTATTAGTGTACTGGTGAGCAGCAGAGAAAAGGCAGCTCTGTGGCTTGCTGAGAATTGAAGACCACTGGGGGAGCAAAAAGTTGCTTCAACAAAGGCACTGCAGGCTGCACCTGTTGAAATGAGAGACATGTAAACAAGTCTCAAAACCAGACTTCCAGATCACCTAAGGCAACCCCAAAGGGAAATGAGATGGAACAATCTGACACTCAACTACCTGGACTCCCTGAACTGGCAACAAAAGAGGATCTGGAAAA